TTTCTTATAGCACTTTGTGAACATTAAAAATTTTAGAATAATTATTGACTTTTTGGAAGTTATGTAGTTAAGGAATCTCATCTGATTATTTTTGAGTTTTTTAAGGGCAAATTTTTAAAAGTGTGTCTTTAATAATAATTTGAAGTTTTATAAAGAAAATAAAGATATAATTGAAGGATATTTTTCCCTGCTTTCAACCAAATATCAAGAAAACATTTTTTTCTGATTTTTTTATTTCCTCACCACCCCCCAATTTTTAGTGCCTTATGTCTAGCTAGATCCATTGTAGATGAAAGATAAAATCTTTTAGAATTAGGGGCCCTCCCTAGTAGCACAGGGGTTAAGGAGACCACACTGTCAACCTATTGCCAGCCACTGCAGCATGAGTTCAATCCCCAGTCAAACAAGGAGCTAATCCACATGGTGCAGCAGACCTCTCCTGTCTCACCTGCTGCTCCCCTCAGCGTATATTTCAGGAGATCTGCCTGTTCTGCTCCCCACTCTGTCTCTGGTGACCCCTTTCATCCCTCACAGCTCTGGCATATACCCCAGCTCTTGTATGCATAAATAAATAAATCCTAAAAAAAGTTTAGAATTAATGAAAAAAGTTTTATTAATTGCCATTGGGAAAGAATCTGGAAGGCATCCAGCATAAGCAAAAGTGTTTATTTACCCTAGATATTTATGCAAAAAATTTACTCTTTGATCTTGTTTTCAGCAGGTAATAGGTGATGTAACCAGGGGTCATGGCTTCAAGGTCACTGGCACAGACAGCAGCTTCATGGTGGTGGTGAGAGAGCATCTAGCCTCAGGCTGCACCCCAAGAGACTTGGAGAAATGTCTCACTGGCACAAAGTAAAACTTACCTGGAGAAGAGGACTTTATAGGCTAGGCCAAACTGTAGTAACCAATAATCACTCAAATGCAATGGTTTTTAAACTAAATTTTTATTTACCACTCTTTTCACACTTGAGTGCAGATTGGGAAGCCTGTAGCCTTGTAGTCTTGTCATCTGGATATCATGACCTCTAGAGCTATAAAAAGCAGGGGAAGAGGGAGTGGAAGGATTGCATGGGATATTCAGGGCCAGATCTTGAAAGTATATGGATTTGGCCAATTCTCTCAAACTAATCCCATTAGTGCAAACTCATTCACAGGACCTAACTGCTGAGGAAGCTGAGACATGTCATAGGTTAGCTTGTGCTTAATAAAAGTATGGTAAGGGAGCACAGCATCATCTGCCACAGAGAGTGAGGAGGAAATTGTTATAGCAAAAGATCAGGGTGACAGAAACACCTAGATGGCAGCAAATACAAATGTATATACCAATTCTCTTGGGGTCTCAGGTGCAATAAACACCATCTACTCTAAATGAAGTCACGCTCTACATTAAACTTGGCTAAATGTAAAAAGAGTAATGTAAGTGTAAGTCAGAGACCTGTGGCATCTTGTGCTCCATACCTCAGATACCATCCACTTTTTTGCATAAAGGAAGTCCTTGACAAATTGGAAACTAAGGGGTCTGCAAGGGCAGGGTAACAGCTGTGTGCACTGAGGCTGCCTGTTTCTGGTAGGGTGTACTTCTTGCTTAAGGGCCCTGGGCATCTCCTCCATGTACCTTCTTACCAACTGGATTGGAGAAGAGAGGGCAGACAAGTTTAGGAGCTCCTGAGTCTCATTCTCCTGCAGAATTAGATTAAAAGCTTACAGAATTAGATTCATAACTACTTACAGGGAATTTTTTGCTAAGTGAGGAATACCTCTACCTGCCAATCTTTCTGTTTCCTTTCAGAATTGGTTCAAATTGGGCCTTCCTGGTGGCGCAAGAGGTTAAGTCTCAATGCTATCAAGCTATCACCAGCCACTGCAGCATGAGTTGGATCCTGGACAGGTTGCTGACCCACATGGCACCGCAGACTTTCTTCTGTCTTGCCCACTGCTCCCCTCAGCAGTGTATTTCAGTCAGTGCACCTGTCCTGTATGCCACTCTGTCCTGGAAATCCTCTCACCTGACACACCCCTCCCCCGCACCTCTGGCCTACACCCCAGCTCTTGTATGCATAAATGAATAAAATAAATCTTTAAAAATATAATAATAATAATAATAATAATAATAATAAAATAAAAGACATGGTTCAAATCCCTTAGGCAAAGATTGCAGCAGAGAAATACAATCCTTTAAGACTTTTGCTTTTTTTTTTTTTTTTAAGATTTATTTATTTATTTATACAAGCTCTGGGTACAGTCAGAAGCGTGAGAGGGTGAGAGAATTCACCAGAGCCAGAGAGGGGAGCAGAGCAGGCAGGAGGACCGAAGCACACTGCTGAGGGGAGCAGTGGGCGACAGGAGAGGTCTGCGCACAATGTGGGACCTTCCTTCGGTGGCCGGGGAGCAGCTGGGGATTGAACCAGCGCTGCAGAGGCTGCGGGCAGCTTCGCAACCCAGCGCTTAACCGCTGTGCCACCGGGGAGGCCCAAGACTTCTTTTGCCTTTTAATCATTGGGTGGCTCTCACAGCAACAGAGCTCTCCCCCGGGGTTCCCTACAATCACCTCCAGAGACTGTTCATTAGGCCTGCAGGGAACACCCTCAGGAGATTTCTGACTAGGCTCAGCCAGTGAGCCTCAGGCTCTTTCAGACTATCCCAATGTGACAGCGAGTCCTACCTGTGTCTGTGACACGTCAGTGTGTACTGCAGGGACTAAAGGTCTGTACATCAAGTATTAGTTTACTGGATCACCAGCATTCTTATGCACCAAGAAAACTTTTCCCTCAAGGGGGAACTTCATTCTACAGCCTAGGCCTCAGACCCACACAGTCTTTCTCTCTGCCCTTTAGAGTCAAGGAGCAGGTATCCTTTCCTGAAAACTGATAGCACTGCTCTGTCCATTGCCACTTGGAGGAGGAGGCATGAACTGCCACCAGCCCGGAGCCCTGAACGATGGTCAGGATGGAGGAGGCTGAGGGCCAGCACATCGCCACATGTGGCAACGAGCACCCAGGGGCACATTGTCTATAACACCAAAAAAGAAGGGATGGGGGCAATGAGGCAGGTGGAACCTGCAGTGGGTTGGTTGGGACTCGTCTTGGGCAGCATTTCTATGGCCACCTATACTGAATCTTATTGATGATGAGGAAAGATGAGAGGAAAAATTAAAGTTCCTGGTTCTCTATAGCCTCCATGCCCCCTCCTCAGACTCTCTCCTTGGTCTTGTTCAGGTTTCTAGAGTAAATGGTTGGGGACAGTATTCATTTAATAATAAGCCACGCTTACCTGGGAGTCAATGTACCTAACGTATCAATGTGAACCCCTCCTCCACCAGAGTTGGGAGGGGACAGTTCCCCCACCCTCATTCCCCAGCCTCTCCCTGCAAATGGGCAGACACTAGAAGAGCACCTGCCTTAGGACTGTGCAGTGTTTGAGTCACCAGTCAAACCTCACTTTCAATGCCTGTGAAGTGATGTGAGAGCAGACGGGACACCAGAGCAGACCTTGGCCAACAGCGCAGAGCACATAGAAGTCCTCCCTTTGTGACCTCCCATCTGCGCTTGTCTAGTTCTGAAGCTCCCTCCTAGTGACTGTGTCCTGCATGTCCACTGCAGGGGCTAATCTGAAGATCTTGGGATGCTTTTCCTAGGTGCTTCTTGCAGTTTTCCCCTCAGCACTGTGAGTACTGCCATGCCCGAAGCTGAGGGAGGCTACTGCAGACAGGGAAGGAGCACCTTGTGTTTGCTGCCCCAGAGCCAGCAGGGGGCCCTGTGTCCCCAAGAGAGATGTCAGCTGCCACCTGGGGAGGCAGGTTGGACTCAATGTAAAGAATGTCTTTCCTTGGGAGTTGTGATCCCCATGGAAAGCATTTCAAGAGGGTGTCCTGGCCTCATCCTTCTTTTAAGGACAATCTTAGGCCACTGTGACCACACGATTCATCTGAAAAGGTAGAGCACTCTTTCAAGGGTTCAGATTGCACTCCTTTTGTTTTGTGTGTGACATAATTGCAGGGACCAGCAGTCCTGCCCCTACTTCCAAAGGAATACAGTTAGTTTGTCTATTAGGTTCTCATTAGATTTTCAGCTGTGACTCCAAGTTCTCTTTTTACAGAACAAAGAACTGTTGAAAGTTTTATAAACCTTTGAAAAAAGAGGTCAAATGAGTATGGAGAACTTCCTGGAATCTCAGACCAGTACCCACAGTGGTGACAGTGGTGGTCCTTGTGCTTTTCCTGCCCCTTCCTACCTACCCATACTTCTGTATTTAACCCTTTCAGCTGAAGATTCCCAGAACTGAGCTAGTGTAGCCCATTACCAAAATTAACACATCTTTGTCACTAGACAGACTTGTGGTCTTCTAGAAATTTTCCAGGCATTTCTGAAGGAAGAAGGGAGTAGCAAATGCAAGCTAAGTACGTTTTCTGATGTTAGCTGTGGGCTACAAATCCCCATGAAAACAAGATATTCTCAGGTATACAAGCAGGTCATTGTTTAGCACAAATTGTTCCAAAGGTATTTTACTTTGAATGAGCACGTCCACAATCCTTGTATGGGGGCTAAGTACCAAGCCACTGTGGCTAGGAGCCTGATGGTGCGTCTGTTGCCCTTCTGTGCTTCTTCTTGAGCACTTTCTTCAGGCAGCAGGTAGAGGACTGAGAGAGGGTCAGTTCCTGCCTTAGTCAAGGCCTATGGTCAGCTGCAGATCAATTTCACAGGAAATTCTTAGCAAAATGGGACATGTTTTGTGATAGCCATACCAATACCCAAGATGACACAGTGATACCATCATTATTCCAGATTGTAATATCATTTCCATAATTGAGAATTAGTACTTGAGACACAAAAATTAGAAACAACAGTCCCAGTGAGTCATATTTGCATCAAGTTTTATGAAAAAGAAAATGATTTTCCTGACTCCTCAATGGTCCAGTCACAGCAATTCTGTCTATTGAAAGTATTGTGTTATATTTTTTTTGCATATATTCAAATTTGCAGATATGCAAGGTATGGCTAAATACTCTGTGATTTAAATGAACTTTTTAAAAAAATGCACCACGCCAATACATTTTATGAACATTCACTTGATGCCCTATCACATTATGAAAATGATTCCAGTTGTTTTCTGGTGTCTATGGTAACAAATATGTATGTGTATCAGACATAGTATTTGTTTTTACATTGAAATATATTCCACATGCCTTTAGATTCCTTGCTGATGAAGCAGACTTTTTGCATTTGATTATTTATATGAATTAACACCGTGTCAACTCCTTCACTCCCTGGGTGAAGCAGTTTTGCACCAGATAAAACAACCTTTGGGAGCCTTCCTTCTGCTCCTCTTACTTTCCAATCTGTGTGTATTCTTAGGACATAATTTGTAAACATTGCCATGGAGGGTTGAATGCTTTAATTTGTGCATCTAAACTGATGGACAAAATTAGCTATATCCAGGTGACCAAAGCGAGTTCACTCCCATACTTGGGAAATGACAGAAATGTCTGCCTTTCAGTACATTAGATCTGCAGCTGCAGTGGTTGTCTCCGTGTCTTTTGATTTTGCAAAAGGGAACTGAAAACCAGCAAGTCGGATAAGGAGCCCATTCAGGAAATGAACAAAAAAGCAAATGAAAACAACCCAGAATGAGGTGGTGTACTTTTCACTTTGTGTTTTGTAAGAATAAGTCCCCTCTTTATAATTTGCAATTTTTTCTGAGAGACGGTGGATTTTCACTTCAGAGGCGAACAATATCATGACAAGACAGCCACAAGATCCTGTAACAGAAGGCATAATATTTGGGGTCAAATTACTTATTGTAAAAGCCAGGGAAGAGAGTCATGTGCAAATTTAAGCAAGTTTACCATCATCTCTATTTGCATTCTTTGGCAAAAATATATCATTTCAAATTTGTAATCATGAGCCTGATTCCCCAACCCATGGGTGACAGTGTTTGGATTAGGAGGATGACATCAAGCTGATCTTACAAAGACTGAGAATTGTTCCTCTTTGCTTGATGAGTAGGTGAACTGCCAGGTATCTTAACCGCATAATGGTGGAACCAGGCCACAGAGCAGCCACTGTTGTGACATGTTCAAGCCATGTGGCTACTCTGTATTTCACAGGCCATGCAGGATAAAGGCCAGTCATACAACCGTCTCATGAAGGGCCCACTGGCTTCCTTCAGAAGTTGACACAGCCTCCACCTCTGCCAGTTCCTCCTGGCCACAGCCACCTGAAGGAGTAGCTGAGCAAACAGAGCCATGGATAGGGTGTGGAGGGTGCATCTGTTCTTGTTTGTAGCAGAACTCAGAAATTTAATAAAGGCATGTGACTGCCTTAAAAAAAGGTTACACTGTTTGACTGAAAGTGACTAGGATATAGAGATAGGAGAGCTGCCTAAAGGTACAGTGAATCCTCTTTGAAGGTCATGGATAGGTTCTTGGAAATTATAATGAAAGAAGGTCTTTGAGCTGTTTAGTTCAGTGTTGACTAGGATTCTTTTTTTCTTCAAAGTTATAATAAAATGTCATTATTTGAGGACCAACTATATGCATGTATTAGGGGGCTGCCCTTATCTCTTTCTCCATGCCATGACTGAATCAAGGATGCAATGCCTCAAGCTCCAGCAGACATTTTGAGCCAGGTGGCTTCTAAAGGGAAAATCGCATACAATGGAAAAACAGGAAAGGAGGAACCTGGATCCTAGCTACCCAGAACCACTAGACCAGCCTGGGACTTCAAACTCAGGTTTATTTGTGAGAGAAAAATAAACATCATTTTGGTTGACCCACTAGCCTTATTTTCCCCTTGTTTAGCCCTCTGTACATAATCTAATCTTAATCTGGTGCAGCTGTGGTTGGGCAGAGTCTCTGCTCAGGGATACTCCAGGCCGGAAATTCTGATGAAGCCTCTCCCCTGAGAATGGGGAGTGGGAGACTCCGGGGAAGTGGTTGGCACAGAGGGCCACAACAGGTGGCAAAAGGTACAGGGTCAGGAGCGGAGTGGGGGGGGGGGTGTCGAGGAAGGGGCGGGGTGCAGGACTCCAAGGGCTTCCCCCAGTGATCCTGATTCTTTCACATATTATGTGAAATTAGGCAATTTTAATTTCCAAGTCTCTATTTCTGATCTACAAAATGTGGATAATAAAAATGATGCCGGCTTAACATTTGAAGGAGCAGAACTAACAAAGATACATATGCTTAATTAATAGCTATTCCCACGGTTTTTATGTATTCTATTTTCTTGCAAGTGCTTAGCATACTCTCTTATTTACCCCACCCCCAATGAAGGGAATCTGACTGTACCAGACAGGCACCCAAAAGAATGTGTCACAGTGCTTTGTTCCTCCAAATACACTTCCATTAGGTTTATGACTCCTTCAGGAGTGGTAAGTGCATTTTGTTTTTCACTTACAGTTAATTTAAATACCCTGGGAGCGGCAACAAGTGACTTAAGTTCCCATTCATTAATTCACTCAGTCATTTATTCAATTAGACTTATTACATACATGGTGGAAGTTTAAACATTAGAGGAAAGTCATGTGGTATCTACTCTAACAGTATAATCAGGGAGGAAACACAGATAAAGGAACCACAATTCAGCCACAGGGAGATTTAACAGTAAAGGAGGTACAGGGTGCTAATACTGAGAGCGGGCAGCAGCATCAAAGGGAGGCAGGATGTGGGCGAGGGAAAGTGTTCCAGTCAGGAGGAGCTACAGTGAAAATGAGGGTTCCCATTCCTTTTCCAAAGGCTGGTTGGGATTGGGGTAGAGGTGGAGACTGGATCATGTGGATGGGGATGGAAGTGGGAGTAGGGGTGAAAGGGAAAAGAGGAATCACACGTTTTCTACTGTAGAATTTTGCCTGGGACTGGCCCATCATCGTTATACAGTACACCTGCAAATAATCAAATGATATAATGTTCTTGACCCTTTGCATCCTGGCAGCCTTGGAAGAGCCCTTGAGAACACTCCTTTGTAAAATTTGTCAACCTGTTTTTGTATTCTGAGCTTAAAACCAGCGCTCTCCCTTGGCAAAACCATATTATTCCTTTATTGTTAGATCCAACAAAAAGACCACAATTCTGCTTTCTCTTTATCTTTTATTTGAAAATTGTAGAGAAAATGCCATTGCTTTTACTTTAAGAGCCTTCTTCGTCTGAATAGATGGTGAGTTGCAGACAGAAATGAAACACTGTATTTCCTGAATGCTTGAAAGGAAAATTCAAGCTTGGTTTCCTTTTCAACTTGTTAAATATTTTAAAGGTCCTACTTTCTTAAGAAGATAGCATTATAGTGAGCCTGAATTTCAGATCCCTAAAGTAAAAGCCCCTTGGGTGTTGCAAGACTCACAGCCTTTTGCTGTAGCTAATGCTTCAAGATCGTAAGATGCTCAAACAGTGCACACAGGCTGGCAGTTGGGAGGATGGTCTTGGTTTCTGCTGTGAATTCTGAACTTCACCTTGAGATCAACTTTTTCATTTCAGAGTCAGAGCATGGAAACCCCATCTGAGTTTCTGCCAACCCCTCCATGACTGCTCAGAGATGTGAAGGGAAACAACTCCTAGTAAATTTCAATACTTTTGCTGCTTTCTGCAATGGATCTAAAAGAGATTGTTTATCTTTTTTGATTGCTAAGTAATATTCCAATGTGTATATGTACCACATCTTCTTGGGCATTTGGGTTGTTTCCATAGCTTACTTATTGTAAATAGTGCTGTAAAAAGTGTAAACAGGGATGCAGGTGCCGTTTTGAATTAATGTTTCAGTGTCCTTTGGGTAAATACCTAAGAGTGGAATTGCTGGATCATATGGAAGCTCTATCTTTAGCAGATTAAGGAACCTCCACACAGCTCTCCATAGTGGTTGGACGAGTTTGCACTCCCACCAGCAGTTCCTCTTTCTCCACATCCTCACCAACATTTGTTGTTGCTAGTTTTTTTTAATATATGCCATTCTCACTGGTGTAAGATGGTATCTCATTGTAGTTTTGATTTGCATTTCCCTAACTACAAGTGATATTGAACATTCGTGCAATTTGCAGCAACATGGATGGAGCTGGAAGGGATCATGCTCAGAGAAATAAGCCAGAAAGAAAAAGAAAAATACTGGATGGTCTCACTCATAGCAGGAATTTAGAAAACCTAAATAAGGGACCAGGAAAAAGACTAATTATAATAAAGTCAAAATCAAAATCAACAAGCAACTATAAACCAGAGACACACTACAGCGGGGGAGGAGGGAGTAGGATCAAAACAAGGGTGGTGGGAATTGTATGGGGACTATAACCAAGATGAAAATGCATATATTGTGCAAAAATGAAAAATGATGTAAGAAATATATAAAATTAAAAAAAGAGAGTTGTGGGACCAAGGGTAACTACATATGACTTATATAGAGACACAGGAAGAGTTTTTCTCCATGACCTGCCTGCTAGGGACATAGAGAGAGGCGTGAAAGGAATAAAAATGATGGTGGAAAAGGGCTTAGCATGTTTCCACTGTGGTCTGAGACTACAGACAGGGGGATTTCTGCTAAGGGCCCCCCATTTAGACAGCTCTACTCTGTCTTCTGGAGATCTCCCTGCCCACAGGGTGAGGAATCCTCAAGGTCCATGGCTGGGCTCATGTGGAGTCCTTAACCCACCCTAGTCTGTACTCTTGACACTGGGAATTCCCTCCTGAACAGCCCTGAATGCATTTCCCGGGAGGCACAGACATCTTTCCTGGTCCTGCCCTCCCAAGGGTCGACTGTGGCTGATGCTGCAGTCTGGAGGCCTGTGGGTGGCCAAGTCCGCTGTTTCAGAGGCACCACCAGAGCACAGATGCACGAGGTGTCGCCACATGTGTGCTGGGTGCCCTTGCCCATGTGTGACAGAACCGAGAGCAGGGAGGGAAGTGGACCACAGGGGCTGGCACTCAAGGGCCACATCCATGTGCAGAATTCCCAGGGCTCCAGAAGTCCAAATCTGAACCTGGTCTTCTAGGTCCTTGTAGAGCGATGCTTCTGAGGTAGAAAGCTAGAACATGTCTTATTGAATAGCTTATTAGCTTTTAACTTTTAAATCTTTACACATGTAGTAAGTAGGTAGGCTTTCATTCAGACTCTGCCCAAGGTTTCACAAATGTTAGAATTAGGTCTGTAGACTTCCCTCCTCCTTTTCCCAGTTGTCCATGTACACCAAGAACCAAAAATTCAGCTGGAGCCATTTGGACAGATTCTCCACATGTCCAACCCTGCTCTATCCACGAGAAAGGTTTGAGTGCACTAGGATTTAGGAAAGCCTGTAAACCCCTGCTCAAGCTACTATTTGGATTATATCAGACATAGGACCCAGGTTTTATTGCCCAGGTTTTCTTCATGTGTTTGATTTCTCCACCATCTGGCTACTAATGTACTTTTTATTTATTTTTCTTTTAATGATACTGATTGCTGAGTTAATTTCTGATGGAATAGAGTATCTGAATGATGGGGTTGTCACACCATGAAATATCATTTGCAGTGTGCTAGACACCATACGCTCTTGACTCTCTGACAGCCATCTGGGACTGCAGGACCAGGCACCTCTTGCCTCCAGTCCTTACAAAATAGGGTATGCAGTCACAGTCAAGAACAAAACTGCTGCTTCACCCCTAGCTAACCCTGAAGGTGACTATGATTTTGTGGGTGGAACATCCTGCCAAGATCTGTGGGGGTCCAGGGTAGCATGGATTTCAGTATAAATGTGTCCTCAAAGTGGGGGTAAAATCTCTGAAATATTCTCCTATTATAACTA